ATGAGCAGGGAATTACCAAGAAAATCACAGAGCTGCAGGAGGCACCTTAGCCCTGCATGCTCCCCACGTGCTCTCAGGCTACACGGTTTTAACACAGCAATTGGCTGTTCATCATTTTTYTTTTCTCTGTATCATTAAAAAACCTGAAAAAAAGCAGAGTTTCGTGCTCCTCCAGACAGACTCCCTGCTCGGTGCTGCCTGGGCTCTGGGCACAAACGAAACCGTGGCTCCCTCAGTGACACAATTACCCACTGCAGTGTGAGAGGCCCCAGCAGCCATGCATGYCATCAATTAGCAATACTCATTTGGAGCTACAGACTTGGGAGATTTTCCTTTTTCCTGGCTGGCATTTGTGGGGTGGCTCACAGTGGACAGCAGAACTGGATTTGGGACCACACCTGCATCACCCATTTGGGATGTGACCTTGGCATGGGCTGCTCCAACCTGTGCTCAGCACAACTTCCACTCCTCWTCCCACCACTGCTATTGTTTTATTTATCTTTATTTATTATTTATTGTTTTATTTCTCAAAAAACAACACTGAAAACCACTTTCCYATCCGGGGAAAGACAGAAAACTCACGGCATCAAACACCACCAGCCCTTCTCCTCTCTCCAGGAGGGTTTTCACACCCCGTTTGCACCATGACTAAAYGAAAGGAATTAACTCCGTGGGCTGTTGGAGCTGCAGCTCCATTTGCTGTTTCCCCCTGCACATCCCTCTGCCTGGATCCTCTGCTTGGGAGGAAGCACAGGGAGAGGTGCCACAGTATTTTTAACCCAGCACCCACATGCTGTGAGAAAGCCTAAAAAAAAAAATAAAAATAAATGTGCGGAGCCTTTCGCAGCCTCCCCGAGCGGCTCTGACTCACGGAACAACAAAGGCACACGTGTGAATGGAACTTGGGGATGTTATTTTAAATCAAATACCCTCTGGAATCATTTGGGGCTAAACTGAGCTCATTTTCTCTCCCTGCTGGTGTTTTCTGGACCCACCCAGGCTGGCTGGAAAGGAGCTGCTTGCAGGATGAGGGATGGCTCTGGCCTCAGCAATCCCATTCCAAAGGTCATGTTTTGGAAAGAAGTTCGGATGACATTAATTATTGACGCTGGTATTAAGGGTAATAGTTTCCCGTGTGATTTATACAGCAATGAAATTCATTACTGATATTTTAATGATGTTAGTGTCAATCAGGCACAAGAATGCTAAATGACTGATCCCAAAAGGACCAGGAACTGATCCAAGGAGYTTTGGGATGCTCTCAGCGCTGGCCTTTCCTTCCTTCTGCCCTTGCACTCCTTGCTGGTTGCTTTTATAGCTGAATGGATGGATTTTCCCTGAAATCACACCTAATCAGTGTCCCAGACACGGTTACACTCCAAGTAGAAGCAAATGAATCCTGTTAAAGGAGCGTTTTTCTGGAGGTGTCACTGAAAATGTTGAAGYTTTAATGAGGTTTTACATAAATTGTTGCAGAGTGTTTTATAGGGATTAGGAAGTTTCCTGTTGTGGGCACGGAGTTTTATGAAGTGTTCTGAAAAAAGGAACGAGGTAAAAGGGGATGAATCAAGTCCTCAAATAGGAAGAACAGGAAAGCTGGGACAGATGTGGACCAAACTCTCTCTCAGACCTACAAACACACAAAATTCATCCCCAGCATGTGAAGAGTTGGATGATTTTTGCCAGCCTTGATGGGCAAGAGTAAAACCTAAAATATTTTAAGCAAACTTCCACTGTGGGGTTGTTTTAAAGCACCCAGTTATGGTGCTTTAAATYGACTTTGGAATGATTTCCTCTCCTTCACCAGGCTGTGCAACAGCCTCTCCTGGGGCAGAATGTCAGGCAGGGACTCAGGGAGCAGGAAGGAGAGCTGGAGGTGGCAGCTGGAGCCTGGCACTGTCACCTGGCACTGAAGGCACCAAATCCCTGGAGAAGGAGACAGCACTGACTCATTTCCCATGAGATCTGCCTTGTTCCATGCTCCTTCCTTTGGGAAAACAGGAAAAAWYMAARSAAAA